TGAGGCGGCTGTTGTCCACTGCCAAGATCTCCAGGGAGCTGCGAATGGCTCGGAAGTCGGGAATCTCCTGCAAAAGGACATTCTAAATGCAAATTGCGAATTTCGCTCAACTTTTACTTAGTTTGAAATATAACTTTTTCGCACGTTTTCCTGCAATTATACAAGAAAAGATATTTGCTTGTATATGCGTTTGACTGTTGTTCACTGCATCACAGGATATTTATTTAAGGATTTATTGGGAAGTCATAAGTAACATGCAACATAATTAATCATCAAATCGCAGTTTGGGCATCAAGTTGGAGATTTTTTAACTTTGTAATATACAACACGGCCTGCTACTCAAAGACTTGCTTTTTTTAATGGCAATTTTGTTTTATTTATGACGACTTGTGCACCGGATTAAGTTTTCTAAGACATACGATCAAATGAGTAGCCAGCTATTACACATTCTTTTCTATTTATTTCAGGTGGTAATTTTTTGGAACTGTTTTTTTTTTTTGTTCTTTGAAGAATTGCCATCGTCAAGTTTGAGAAAGGAATTTCATCCCCAATTTCTCTCAGAAGAAGAATATTCGCGCTATCTCTTTTTCCCCGCCATTTAATTCCACTAAATGCAATATTTCAGTTTCGTGAAAATTGCGAAATATTTAAATGCTTAAATTAATTTTTAATAAATAAGCGGCATTGCATCAACAAGTACAAAAAAGACGAAAAAGAACGGATTACAGATTTACTTTTCTCTAGGTTCGGCTTCTCTTGAGGGAGAAGTGCCTCATTAGTAAACAACAATAAGCATTTTTTTCTTGCATTTGTTCAAGAATAATTTTAACGTAGTCCTCAGAATAATTAATGGCTCGTCCTCTTATTCAATCCGGAGGTTAACAACTTCAGTAACAATTACATTACAAAAGAATAAAATGCGTCTCTGTGATTAACTTACTACTGTGCCCAAATAGTAAGACTAATTTTTTTTTTCAAAAACCCTTAATTAATTCTTCCAAATTCATTTAATCGCCTTCAAAGTAATCCCCTCCGGACACAATGCACTTATACCAACTTTTTTTCCCAATCCTCAATGCATGCTAAAAAGCTGGATGGATGGCTTTCAAAGCGCGCGGCAGTTCACGTTGAATCTCTTCAATCGACTCAAAAAGGTGTCCACGGAATGGTCTTTTGAGTTTAGGGAATAGCCGGACGTCGCACGATGTGAATACGGTGGTTGTGGAACGACATGAGCTGGCGCAGTCAGTGTTTTCGGTATCAATCGAGATTTGATGCCCAAAATGGAATGGATCGATGCTTTTGTAATTCGATGGTTTGCAAGAACCAAATCTTTCAAAAAATTAACGTGAGCTTCGTCGGTTGATGTGGATGATCGACCAGAGGGCTCATTATCTTCAACGCGTTCTCTGCCTTCTTTGAACTGTTCATACCACTTCTAAACATTTCTTTCCGATACAGTAATGCTCACCGAATGCCTTCTACAACATTCTATACGTTTCTGCAAGCAAAACTGAATGCAAGTTCTTTGCTCAATTAGTTCAGACATTTCAAAAATCGCCGGAATCAGTTTTAGCGTCTCACAAAACGAAGCGTAACTCAAACACTGATGAATATTTTGAGGTCCAATTTCACACACATGTCAAGGACAGTGCCAGCAACTTAAAAAAGAAAAAATAATAATTGAAATTCCATACGCCCTGGGGATTTTAAATTGAAAATGGGTCTTACTTTTTGGACACCGTAGTATGCTTTATTACGTTTTGGTTTGTGCGTTTTCATAGCTGATAATAAGCATATTGTTCTTCTTTTGTGCCTAATTCGTGAAGAACTGTTCCAATCATATTTTTACCAAATGTCATTCTATTCCAATGAATGACACTTTCATAATACGTTTTCTAATCGAATCCGAAACATTAGCTATGATGGCCTAGAGGTATCCGCCAAAGGAATGGATCCACGTATACACGTACGGTTCGCAAAAAACGGAAGCTTACTGCGCTTCGTTTTTCAATTCCTTTTATTAGCTCACACTCTCCTTATATACACTGAAGTGACAAAAGTCATGGGATAGCAATATACAAATTTTCAGATGGCAGTAGCATCGCGTAGAATAGGTATAAATGCGCAGTGCTTTCGCAGAGCTTTCATTTCTGTTCAAGTTATTCATGCGAAGAGGTTTTGACGTGATGATGACCGCACGACGGGAATTAACAGACTTTGAACGCGGAATGTTAGTTGGAGCTAGACGCATGGGTCATGCCATTTCGGAAATCGTTAGGGAATTCAACATTCCCAGATCCACTGTGTCAAGAGTGTGCCGAGAGTATGAAATTTCAGGCATAACATCCCACCATGGATAGCGCAGTGGTCGACCGCCTGCACTTAACGACCGAGACCGGCGACGTCTGCAAAGAGTCGTAAATTCTAACAGACAAGCAACACTGCGTCAAATAACCGCAGAAATCAATGTGGGACGTACAAGGGACTTGTCTGTTAGAACTGTGCGGAGAAATTTGGCTTTCCTGGGCTATTCCAGCAGAAGACCGACTCGAGTGCCTTTACTGACAGAACGACATCGCTTGCAGCGACTCTCGTGGGCACGTGAGCATATTGGTTGGTCCCTAGATGAATGGAAAACCGTGGCCTGGTCCGATGAGTCACGATTTCAGTTGGTAAGAGCTGATGGTAGGGTTCGAGTGTGGCGCAGACCCCACGAAGCCATGGACCCAAACTGTCAGCAAGGCACTGTTCAAGCTGGTGGTGGCTCCGTAATGGTGTGGGCTGTTTTTCATGGCATGGACTTGGTCCTCTGGTGCGACTGGACCGAACATTGACTGGAAATACTTATGTTCAGCTACTTGGAGATCACTTGCAGCCATTCATGGACTTCATGTACCCAAACAACGATGGGATTTTTATGGATGACAATGCGCCATGTCACCGGGCCACAACTGTTCGCGATTGGTTTGAAGAACATTCTGGACAATTCCAACGAATGATCTGGCCACCTAGATCACCCGACATGAATCCCATCGAGCATTTATGGGACATCATCGAGAGGTCTGTTCGTGCCCAAAATCCTGCACCATCAACGCTTTCACAATTATGGACGTCTATCGAGACAGCATGGCTCAATATTCCTGCAGAAGACTTCCAACGACTTGTTGAGTCCATGCCACGTCGAGTTGCTGCACTTTGCCGGGCGAAAGGAGGGCCGACACGATATTAAGAGGTATCCCATGACTTTTGTCACTTCAGTGTATATCTTGCTCAAATTTTCAATCTCTGCCTTCTTTGAACTGTTCATACCACTTCTAAACATTTCTTTCCGATACAGTAATGCTCACCGAATGCCTTCTACAAAATTCTATACTTGTCCGCAAACAACATTTAATGCAACTTCTTTGCTCAATTAATTCAGACATTTCAAAAATCACCGGAATCAATTTTAGCGTCTCACAAACCCAAGCTTAACTCAAGCATTATTGAATATTATTGAGTAACTTCAAATTTCACACAGATGTCAAGGACAGTGCCAGTAACCTAAAAAAGAAAAAAAAAATAGAAATTCCATAAGCCCCGGAAATTTTAAATTCAAAATGGGTCATACTTTTTTGACTTTATATACAAGTAGAAGCATGATAAAGATTTTTTTATATTTATTTCTAACAAGGTGAATAATTGAACTCGGAAGAGATTTAGAATTCTGCAATTTTGATTTACTTATTCTTCTTTTGAAGAATTCTCGAGATTATTTAATTCAGTGTGAATATAAAAGATTGTTAACCGATACTCAAAAGTTTTCAATCAACAGAATTTTATAAAAACTTTCTTTTCTAATGCAGCTGGCAATACAGAGGCAGTTATCCTTTATGCCATAAGCAGGAGCTGCGCCGCTGTTACTCATTGAGCACTAAACAGGGGGCGCGTGTAGCTTGAAGATAGGCTACGGAAACGAGTCACACGACCCCCACAAGGCTCTACGATCCTATTAGAGAGGGAAGTGGTTTGAAGAGGATTCCAAACCACTACACACATCCATGGACCCTAACCCGAAACCTGTGGTACCGAGGGCCAGAGAGCTAGTCATCAGACCCTAATATCTTAAAATATAGCATTAAGAAACTATCTATATTTTCAATGGATATTTATATACATATGAAGAAAACATCTTATTAGTCTCTGGATTATTACTAAAAGAGATTACAAAGTGCAATTAAGAACTTCCAGAGAGTTCAATAACAATATTTTTAGATATATGTTACATTCCATGGGGCCTGAATGGTCGAGTGGCTAGCGCTCTGGCGCTCGGTACCACAGGCTTCGGGTTCGAGTCCCGGCGGTGCCATGGATGTTTGTAGTGGTTCGGTCCTAATAGGATCGTAGAGCGCTGCGGGGGCATTGATACTCCGCGTCCGTGGCTTATCTTCAAGTGACACGCGCTTCCTGGGTAATGCAAAGTGAGTACGTCTGTGCAGCGCTTGCCTTAAGGCATCCAAGACCAAGCTGTCTAAGTGTTTGCCAGCTGCATTAGAACAAAAAAAAATGTTACATTCCATGTTAAAAAAAAAGTGAAAAGTTTTTGAATAGCAAAAAATGAAACATCTTATGTGGTTTCATTGCTTTTTTGAATTGAGAGTAATAATTTATGAAATCCTTTATGATTAGTATATGAATATCAATTTATGAAAGTAATAATTTAAAAACAGATAAGTCTCTTTTTCTGAATAACGCATTAAAGGAAAATCCACGGAAATAAAAAGAAATGTGTAAAAGCATTTGATATCTAAAAAAAGTATTCATTATTTCTCAGAAATGTGTTAAGGAAAACTGAATCAATCGTAAATAAAATTCACTATTCTCATGACAAGTTTCATCTAAATTATGTGTCAAAGCAATAAAATGAACCGCGTGTCAAAATTGTAATTCGCTATTTCTGTTGCACTTTTAAACACTTCATTCAATTATAACATATAGCTCGACGGAAATGTTCTTTTTACCGGTTCTCGTTAGATCACCGAAGTCAAGCATCATTGGGCGCGGTCAGTACTTGGGTGGGTGACCACCTGGGAACACCGAGCACCGTTGGCATTCACAAATTTGGGACCTGAATGGCCGAGTGTCTGGTTCTCGGTGCCACAGGTTTCGGGTTCGAATCCCGTCGGTGCCATGGATGTTTCTAGTGGTTCGGAATCCCCTTTAAACCGTAGGTCCCGGTCTCCTATAACTGTAAGAGCGTCACGGAGCCAAAGTCAGACTTCTACCTACGGGTGCTCCATCACAACAGAAGCTGCTTCCTTCCCCTTCAATCATGAGTACGTATGGGCTCGTGGACTTGGCCAGCCAAGTGGGATAAGAAACAACAACAACAACATAACATATGGAATGCGATCAACATGTTTGTTCTATGCAATGAAGTTGAATAAGCAATATAAAAGACACTCACCTTCATAGAGCTTCTTTCTACATAGAAGTACTTGACATAGAGTACCCCATCGAAAGCACCTTCTTCCACCTGGGTCTGGAAATCGTCTACACTGAGGAAAGAAACTGTCAGTCCACTGAGGAACCCTTTGGGCAGCATACTGTTGCCAGACAAAGAGATCTGGAAGGTTGTGTTCACCTCGAACACAGAACCATTCGACAAGATGTCGTTAAAGCCGTCGAAGTCACTCACATTCTGGCAAATCAGTGCAACGTCTTTCAAGTACCCCTTTCTGCATTCGCATTCGTATTCAGGAAGAAGTTCGTCACACTTCTCTATTGGAAGATAGCCGGACATTACCCGACAGACACACACAGTGATTATCATTGCGGATATTGATGCAAGCAGACGTCCTTGCAAAAGCTGCATTCTGAGGTAGAAGAAACTCTTTGATTATATTTGAATTTCAGCATGTTTCAGAATTTTTCCTATGCCGTTTTTCAGCTGCAAAAGGAAATAAATTCTGCAAAAATAATTATTTATTAGAATTTTAGATAGTGTCAAAGTTGTATACTGATAAGAGATATAGTTTCCTATGCTGATTTGTTATATATTTTCATATCCTAATTTGACATATATTTTCGTATGCGGATTTGATGTCCAATTTATCGAAAAATTTCTTTAAATTATTTTTTCTGAAATATGAACTTACGCTTTCGGAATTAAATGTCACTTGAAACAATTATCATAAAAACAGATAATCGGTAATTCGCCAGAATCACTTTGAAAATAACAGATCATAAACTAAGAAATAAACTATTTCAAATAAAATTAAAAAAAAATTATTCCATCAAAATCTTTACCGTTTTCAACATTATAAAAAGTAAATTTTTTTAGAGTAATCACGTTATACAAACGAAATACTCCACTAGTTTCAGTGGCACAATTCCTGAATCCTCCTCTTCAAAAAATACTTCTGTTAAATGAGTACCGCGCGTTTATACAAAAATATTTAAAGCAGCACTACATTATATAGGACAACAAAATTGCGTTGAACTCTTACTTGAAAAATGGGGGAAATTCCACACTTCCTTAATCACTGGCAGAGATAATTGATTATCGTATCAGATCAAACTTTGTTATAATTCTTGGACATTCGAAATCCTTTTGCAGCCTCACCTGAATGTTTTTAAAATTGATTGAGGGAGGTGTCTCCGGAAAAAGATAAAATCGTCTGAGTCTTGCACGAAAAAAAACAAAATCCGACTTCCGCAGAAAGGGGTATTTCCGCCCGTGTGACGTCACATGAGCTCACGAGGAAGTGGGAGATAGAATATCATAAGCAGTTATGCTACTTTCGTTATTCTATCATGTGTGATATAATGATTCTATTTGTGTGATTCAATGATTCATACTCATCTTGGTATCGTAAAGATGAGTATGAATCATTAGAGGTAAAAATGGACATTTTTAGCTGGAAGAAAATTATTTTTATTTTTTAATCTGTAAACAATATTTTGAAGAAAAAAAAAAGCAGCATGTAATGCGTACCAAATAGTTTGAAGTTACATTTCAGTGATTTCAGAAGAAAAGTAAACATCATCATACATGTTTGTATGAAACCTCTCAAAACCTGGACAAATGGATACTGTTATCATTTAGTAGGATAAGCACATATAATTTATAACTAAACAGGCAACCATTGGAGAAATATTACATGAAATTCAGACTATTATTATTAAAATAGAGGTACATAACATCAGCACTGTAACCCCGTTACTGTATCACATTTCCCATTAACGAAATGTTTATCAATCGTAATAAGAATTCATGGTAAACCAGAAATAACCGAATTAAAATATGAAATAAAACCTACTTATAATCTATAAAAGGATATTTTGATTAATTCGATAATCCAGTTACATGGTTTAGTGACGCAGTATCTAAATTGTCAAAATATTACATGAATATCATACATTGAATTCAGAATAGTACTATTAAAATAGAAGAACATAACTATTTCACGTCATTGTCAAAGGGACAATGTTATATTTCTGAATGTTAAAATAGCAAAATATTGCAGGGAGATATTTTATATACAAAAATATTGGCAATTACGATTTTTTTTTACTAAGTAGCTACGTAGATTAGTACGTAATAAGTGAGGTTGCACAAAGAATGACTTATTATGATTATAAACTTGCATTATAGTATACAATTAAACGTAAAAAGTGACTAAGGAATGTTATCCGTCAATTAAGTGTATATACGTTGATTGAATCCATCAATTTAATTAAAACATTTGCGAAACATTTAATAAATTAAGCAAATTCATCGAAAAAAACAGACAGTTCTGTGAAAGAAATTTTCAGCTTGGAGAACCAAATAAAAAATGACAATTCTAAAAACTAAATATAATAAAAAATTAAAATTTGCTAAATGAATATTTCATGTTTATATATTATAAGTAAATCTCTTTTAGTTTTTGAAAATTATTCGATATATTATTTTTTATGAATGGGAATTTTATGCATGTTGTTGTTGTACTAATGCCAAACTAAATCCTTTTTATTCGCGCCATCTTGTAAGATTTCGTTAATTTTATTCAGTATTATTGTTGTTGTTCTAATGCAGCTTTCAATACAGACGCAGTTATCTTTATGCCATTAGCAAGGGCTGCACCGCTGTCCCTCCTTTAGCACTACACAGGGGGCACGTGTAGTTTCAAGAAAGACTACGGACGCGAGTCACACTACCCCCACAACGCTCTACAATCCTATTTGACTGGGACCTACGGTTTAAAGTGGATTCCGAACCATTACAACCATCCATGGCACCGGCGCGACTCGAACCCGACATTTCTAGAAACAAGTACTAGCAATTCGGCCATCAGTCTCCTGTCAGAGAGCGGGCCTGGATGGCTAGCGCTCGGTACCACAGGTTTCGGGTTCGAGTCCCGGTGGTGCCATGTATGTTTGTAGTGTTCGGAATCCACTTTAAACTGTAGATCACGGTTTGTTTAGCCTAAAGTGTGGACAAGATGACCGTAGAGCGACGAACCAAACCAAACCTGTCAGAGTGCAGTCTAATCTTGTATTTTAGTTCCGATATTAGTTGGAAATATTTTTCCCCTGACATTAGTTGTGACAAAGGGCATTTAGGTTTTTATTCATACATATTTTTAATGATAGATAATTTCCAGCTCAACTAAATTTTTATGAACAACAACCACAATGGTAACTTTAAAATAAAAATGACTTTGCTCCTATTTAACAATTCCTGAAGCTCAAAACGGATGTCTTGGTCGGCGAAATGGGATCCCATAAGTGAGGTTGGCTATCAACCCTGCTCATGAAAGAGAACACCCTTTGACGAAAACACTGTAGAAGAAGAAATGAATTCGCCAACGTACGGGTTCGTTTAGTTGTTCACAAATGTTATTAAGTTGTCGGTGGTTCAAATAAATCAACTTTCTTGAATTAATTATTAACTATTTTATTACACATACTAGGAATATTTAAAACTTTGTACAATATTTATAAATTGATAATAATACCACACATTCAAATCTCTAATGCCTCTCATACTTCAAATATTACCTCTCTCTCTCTTGCTATCCAAGCACTCTCTCAAACTCGCACTTCTTTCGCCCAATTAACTTGGCGTCGCAGCGCCCTCTAACGATCATTCATTCATCTTTTTTCCACATACTCCCCACCTGTACTCTTGTTAAAGAGTACACTCAATTTCACATTAAATTTACACATTATTAACACATTATAAATAACACATAAAATAACATCATTAATGAAATCATAATAATCCTCATAACATGAAATTAAATGAGAAATACAAAATTCTAGACTAATAAATGCAAAGAAATCAAACATTAAAGTTCTAAATAAAAGTTCAAAAAGTTCAAATATCTAAGTTAAATTTCAAAAGGATATAATAATTGTACGGCTCTTCTTAATTGTCCTTTGAGTGTGCGAGCAATACATGCTCGTACATGGCCGTCTCTTCCTACGATCACTTGTTCAACCACTCCCATATCCCAGAATAGCTTAGACTTCTTAGGTCTTTCCACAAGAACAATGTGTGATTGTGAGCAGTTCTCAGTTGCAAAAGATATTGATCTTTCCACTTAGTCCACAGCTGTTTTAAAAGTCTGGACTGATATAATTTACGTCTAGTCAAAGTCTCTCTATCAACAACCTTATTGAAGATCTCTAGGAAATGTTCAGGAAGGCCGTTATCACGTCCTGGAAGTAAGAACTGGGAAGGTGTGAGACAACGTGGCTCACCCAACTCATTCGTTTCATATGTTATTGGCCTGTTGTTCAAGACACATTCGAGCTCAGTCATTATTGTTGTGAGTTCTTCGAAAGTCAAAAGGGCCTTGCCCAATATTTTTTTCAGAGGGTCTTTGATACTCTTCATCAGTCGCTCCCAAAAGCCTCCCCACCATGGCGCACGTTCAGGGATGAACTTCCACGTAACACCCTTGAACGATATGAACTCTTGAACACTTGGCTCTACGATAATTTTCTTAAAACCTTTGATTATTTCACATGCACAGCGAAAACTTTTCGCATTATCTGAATAAATCACTTTGCAGCCACCTCTTCTTGATAAAAAACGTCGAAGAGCAAATATGAAG